CACGAATTATTATACATCCTGTGGTGATTTGGACATGTCAACAACACATGAAAAGCACAAAACTTGGCATATATCTGGCTCAGAACAAGTCACATTTATCACAGCTTTGGAAATCAGCCAGGCGAAAAGCAAACAGGCTCACAGGTAGTGCATGTTTGCCAAAGCCATGCGAACGCTCAGCTACCATCTCAGGATCTCTCGTAACAGGCTCGCCCATGTGATTAGTTATTGGTTATTCGGCGTTCTGTAGAATATGAGTTCAACATCCTAAAATAATTTGGTGTTTGCTGCATTTCAGTGAACGTTTTATTTCCATACTAATCTTAACAGGTTGTTACTTTATGGTATCGAGCTCCAGAAATCTTGCTTGGGGCTCAAAGGTATTCTTGTGCCGTAGATATTTGGTCTATGGGCTGTATCTTTTCTGAAGTTTCAACAAAAGAAGCTTTATTTCGAGGAGATTCAGAAATAGATCAACTTTTTCGCATTTTCCGGCTCCTTGGTACGCCATCAGAAGAAGTTTGGCCAGGAGTTTCAAGTTTACCGGAATATCAGAAGAAAAGTTTTCCTATTTGGCGCAATTCAAAGTTGTCTATTCAAGATAATATAGCTAAAGCCTTCACCAGTCCTGGTCTTGATTTGCTTCAGGTAAATTATTTTTTAAATCAGTTCTTACAACAACGTTTAATAATTTCTGGCAGTTTAGAAGAATAGTTTTCGTAGTTCCATTAAGTTTAGCACGTACACAGAAACTAGCTTATCAATTTTTTGTGAAATTGTGCCATATTTTCTGTATTCAACTGAGCTAAGAGCAGTGAAGTGGATATTTTTTTGAACAAGCACGATATAAACCAGTGCTGTGGTTTTAAATTGTATCAAGTATCTGGAGTTAGAGCTATGCTCTACCTGCACTTCAGTTTGTGTAAAAAGATGGTATCACAAGCCCGCAAACCAGATTTTATTCTCAAATTAGTGAACGAATGTGTACACGTTTACTAAGTAATTATTATGAGACAATTAATAAATCCTATTATTCAGGAATAGCACCTTCCCACTAATCGGTTCTGCACTAGATCACTACCGGCTTAATTTAATCACTTGACTCACTCAAGTTTGTAAACTTACACTTGGTGTGAAGTACATTAATTTTAGTTAATACTACATATATCTCGCCGTGGTTTTGTATTTATGGGACGTATCACGTAACTTATTTTTCCTTGTCATCGATTCCTTTTACAGGCCATGCTGATCTATGAACCTTCGCGACGTATTACTGCAAGGGATGCTCTCTTGCATCCTTATTTTTCTGACTTGGACAAATCTCTTGTGCCAGCAACTGGTGAAGAGTACATTGGTTTGCCATTAGACCAGTTACCCCGCGAAGTTGCTGCTATATTTCTAGCAGATGGCGGTGAAGTATACCATAATTCCAACGATACAGAAAATAATACTAGCAATTTATGTATCGCCGTCCAACCTGATACCGTACAATTGGGAAGTGCAGCAATCCCTACAGCGAAATATTTGGCTGACTGCAAAAAGCAAGCGCACCAAACAGTAGGTGCAGTAAATTCCAAGTCCAGTCACCATGTGGCACCGTTGGCAGATAATCACGAAACTAATATGTCAATTAGCTAGTCACTAAAACCAGTCAGAATTTAGCTTTCTCATTTGCCACAAAACACCAGTTATTTTCTAATTTTGTCATTATTATTCCATTTTCTATTACTATGTAAATGTTATCCCGATTATATAAGTTGTTAGTGCGTTTTTGTGTTTGTTTCATAATTTTTTGTAATAAATATTGCCTACTTCTAACTACTATTTTAATGCGTAATCACTAAAAATCTAACTAATTATTCACTTTAATTGGAAAAACCTATAGTTGCATTGTATTTCTCGATTGCTAAAAATGTGCCAGAACTTACCATTTGGTTCCTAAATATTTTGCCACAAGTTAATCTCCATCAACCGACCAGTACTCACTTTGTCCTACCCATGCAAAATTCAAAACCCCTAATTAATGTAGCTTTCCTACCCATCATTTACATTGAAAATTTGTTTACCATACTACTACAACGTTAGTAAGTCGTATCATTTATAGAATGCTATTCCCTGAAGTAGTTTATCGGTGCAGTGATCAGACTGGTGTTTTTTGTTGGGTTTGAGTCTTCAGAACCCCCTATAACCAGGATTTGGGAATTTATAGGTACATAATCCAGAACAGGCTGTAATGCGGAGTAGTTTGGTTTTTGTTTCCTCTGTACCTTGATTAGTATTGTCATAATTTTGATTACTTGGGTTCATTTTCCGCTGCCTTTTTGGCTCTCGTAGTGCTTTATTTGTTAATTTCCACTCACTATTCTGGGATGTATTGCATCAATACTCATTTTTATGTTAGGTGGTGCATTTATTTTTATTTTTTGTTTCTTGTGAGAGAGTACCTCATAAAGTACTTCAACATCAAATAATATTCATGGTAAGATTATCCTCAACTACTTGCTGCCATCATGAAATGACTTAGCGTTGGTCCGTTTTCGTGAATTAAGGTATCATCAGTAATCTAGTAGGGTGAATTTCTTTAATAGTGATCCACATTCATGTTAGGTCCATTTATCTGTGACTAAATATATCTGTCTAACCCTTTGTTTTCCAATCAAGTCCAATCTATTCCAAACACATCCCGTCGTTTAATGAAACATTTGACGTAGTTGTACCTAACTCAAATAATTGTCCTTAACATAATAATATCATGAATAAAATGGTGCGCCGAACGACTGCCTCAAGCATAGGAGAAAGCTTGGAACATACGGAGGGCTTCATTAAAAGACTCAGACCTTGACCTGTATATAAGATCAAGGGACAGGTGCAGTCTACGGGCAAGGAAGAGGGGGAGGTACGTCTTCCCAACATAAACCTAGCAGTGAAGTTGTAGATAGGTACACAGCACCTGTGTAAATTGATGTTACACAAAAAGAATCACGAACCGGGGGATTTCGGGACCAGTCAGGTCTTTGACCCATACTTTGAAAAAATTAGGAATCAGGTGCCGAGTCAACGGGTTTGAGCAGATATACCAACAATGACAATGATGAGGAGCAATATATAGGTAAAACCAGGACTAGCGTTGTAAAGTTTGCTGAAAAGTAGGACCAAGAAGTTTGCAGGGACATACGCTCCATAGCACTAAAATAATGACCCGAACCCTCTTGCTATTCAATAACCGATCTATTTCAATGCTCATTTGGCTGTAAGCTGTTGCTATAGGAGTAGAGCGCCTATGTATCTACGATATCTGGACTTCGCTGAGGCGTCTAATACTGTTACACTATCCCAGTGACTGGAATGGTGCGCTTGGGCTTCGGGATATTGAGTGATCTATTAGGGTGTGGGTGTGACCTTGGTTACTGGCTACCATGAGACGGCGTCTTCTAAAGTGGCTCACTGCCATGTGGATAAGACCACTAGGTCAAAGGCTCGGGGCTGGTACCCTAAGGAAACCACCTGCTGCGGTTTGAGCACCCAATCTGTATCTCAGCCCATGAAAAATTCCAATGATTTATGTGTCGCATACATACTTTGGTGCCTCTTTGTCTTTGTTTAAATTAGTAAATGATTGATGAACACTTCAAAACAACGACCGAACTGAATTACGTCCGTGTTTGTTTTCAGCGATTCAGCTACTAAGTGTGTATATTCCCTAAAGTGTTTGTAGATGAAATCGAATCTAAGTTCCCGGGCTTGAGACCGGCAGTAACTCTATAAGAGCTACAGGCGGAGTTGAACAAAATAATAATGAATGAAATTTTTAAGAATTGCTCACACTACTAAGAGTAGATGGATTTGCATAATAAAATTTCGTAGTTTTTTCACCATATTGAAGGTCTTTTAAAAAAATACTGACATTACTAATTGGTATATCTTTTAATCTAAAACTGATTACACACTTGTATGGTACAAAATAATAGAAAGTATTATGAAGTCTGGAGAGTTTGATTCATATGGATCGGCGCATGAAGATATTTGTATGGTATTCGGATGTTGTATTCTGTCAAAATTCGTTCACTTAATAACCATTTAATCATCAGGTTTACGGCAAAGTATTTTGACAATTTTCGAGGAAATTACTTTACAGTACATACGTGAGAACTGATGATTGGATGATCTTAAAGAATTATTACATGCTTTATGCTGCAAATATTTCACATTCATCAGTACTTAATCTTAGTATCGATTGGCTTCTATTTGTCAAGTTTTGATCTTCCCTAAAGCTCCTAATCATTAGATTCTGTCGTCCGAGGATTTCAAATTAGTTTGTACTGTTAGATATAATTGTTCTATGATAGTACATATATCATTTAATAATAAGCTGTATTATTAATACTACTAAATGTACTTGCGGTTTTTAACAAAGTGTTTTTGTTCTAAAAAAGTAGTGTTACAGTGTATTTTCCATTGGTGTTTAGACGCCTAATTTGAACCACGTCTGATTATTTTAGACATGCTAAGTAAACAGCTAACAACGACAACCTTAGTTCAAACCTCACGTTCATCTTAACATTCATTTCCTATACCGTCAATATTTACGGCTACTTAAGGTATCTTCATGCTGAAGAACTGTTGTATAGCCTTCAGAACTATGAGCCATAATTAAACTAGTATCGTTTAAAGTAGACTTTTCTATACATTTCAGAATTCTATCGTAAACAGGATAGATTAATGATTAGTGTTCACTCATGTTCATATTATTTTTAATAATATGAAATTGTGGTAACATGTTCATTACGTTGGTAAAATGTCTGTAATCTCCAAGTAACTTAAACTTGGATATTATTTATCTAATTGATTCATTGTTACATTCAAATCTTGGTCATAAAATTAGAAATTTATAATAAGGATCATGGTGATAGGATTTACTAAAACTTCAAAAAATTAAAGTACAACACAACTCAATGCATTCAAATCAATCTTAATTAAAGTTCTGTTAAATTTTAGATAAGCGTTTATTTAGGACGTAGTCGTTAACATTAGTCAATAATAAATGACAAATTCATTATGGTGATGATGATGGTGATATTACCAGTGATTATATTATGAAGAGTACTAAATAAATATCAGTAAATTCGTTTATAACCATATGTTTATTTAAACTGGAGTGTTCGAGACTAAAATGTAGAAAGAAAAAAAGATAGGACAGTGATCATTCATTCAATTTGTATATCATAAATTGAGATGAAAAATAAGGTGTTATTTCATTATTGGTAAGTAGCAATGTTGTATCTTTAGTAATGAGACATCTTACATTTGTGATGTTTAGTTGTTATCCTTGTTTTTGGAGTAAACACTACACTAATATGTACTACTTATCTAATAAATGGACATAAAAATGACCGAAAGTTTTAGGTATAACATAGTCAATATTGAATACGTTGCGTATCACCTTATCTGAATTTCTCACAAAGAATTAGTTGAATAGACTAAGTAGAATATAATCTATTTTAAGCCACTCGATCACACTCTTTATATTTTTGTCTTAGGTAAGTGATATTTCTTCAGTTATTTGAACAGTCTGATAATAAGCTTGTTCATGGATATACGATCGTGAGAATGTATTTTCTTTTACATCAATATTATGTTAAATTCAGAATGTATGCAATGAAATTAATGTCTTCATTAACACTGATTGGATATTTAAAGTAATAAGTGATGGTTTAATTATAACCGACCACAATGTAAGTGCATCGATTCGTTAGCTTGACTAGTACGTTATATAAAAATACATACTTTCTGGATTTAATTATTATAGTTGTGCACCATTAATGTTAAGATGGATCTTTACTTCCCTATTTATTTTTATAAAACTGGAATGACTGATCTATCCATTTGTCAACGTTTTTTTTACAGAATCCTTGTCACCTGTGATATTTTCACTATATTTGATACTATATAACAGTTCAGTCTTGATACCATCAACTAGATCCACCTACGTCTTGGTCCGTTAGTATTTCTACTGATGTTTGAGTGCTGAATCCAGGGTCTAGTTCCTTTTTCATTTACTTAAAAATAATCAAAATAGAAATAAGCAGTTTATTTTTCGTTTTATATGATATTTGCAGTGTACATCTAAGTCAATTGAGCCAAACAGCTATTGGGAATTAGTGTACTGATATTACTTTCCAACAGTTTATATCCATGACTCTTCAACCAGGTATCGAAGGTACAAACTTCAGGTCTCCCAGCGAGCACGACCAATTAAAGTATTCTACATGCTAAAAGAATTGGATTTTGTTCTTCCTGAACGTTGAGATAGAATTTCTAAATAAGAACGAATACATAGTTTAGAGTCTAGATCAAAGGTTTCTTTCTAAATACCGTTAACCGCTAACACGAAAAATAGGATATCATAAGTTTGTTAGGTGTACTGGATTCTCAAAATAACTTGTACAACTCGTCTTTGCAATTTCCTACGTTGTCAGTTTTCTCCGCTTAGAAGGACTCATTTGTCTCATTGGTTTGTTAATGTTTCAGTATCTCATTTCGTTACCCTGTCCTTAAGGGCATCGTAAATATATGTGTATACGTGAAAGTTATACTCTAGATACTATTCCTTCTCGTTACGGGCATAGATGTTCTGGACTATTTCAAATTTTGTCCCTAGTTAGCGGAAAGAGAAGAAAGAAGTAGAAAGTAGCCTCAGTAATTGTCATTTAAATTGGAGTTGAGAACTATTAATTTAGTTAGACTAATGATTACATTCCAAAATTAGTTGACAATGTTTGATCAGCACTGTAGTTTAAAATAAAATGACAATCTTTATCACTTGGTAGTCAATGATTATCTAGGAAAGTATACAAATTTGCGTATCCATACAAATAAACATTGTCATTAAAAACGGAATCATTCATGAATAAATACATTTATCACTTACCATATCTTTAATTATTCCACTAAGTTGTATTCTATGTTCACGTTTTGCTATCTCAATTTGTTCTAGGCTAGCTAATAATTCATCTATACGTGTAATAATTGAAACAAGTGTAGCTTCCATAAGATCAACATTTTGGATTAATTCATTATAGTCTTCAGGATCAACATACTAAATTGATTTAGAAATAGTTTATAATTATTACATAATTTTAATTAATAATATTGATGATTCAATTGCAATTAATATCAAAATATAAATAAGGAAATTGATAAACTAAATCTTTTGAAGATTTAGTTTATTTTTAAGCATTTATTTCGTTGTAAAGTGATCGTTCTTTTGGACGACATCATCAGCACAAACTTCAGGTAGAAATGAAGTGTTCGAAGCTTGTGCTGATGATGTTGTTCAGAAGAACGACGAAAGCTCCACGACCAAATCATCCAGATCAGAAAACAAAACTCCATCAAAATCATTCATCTGAGCTACAAATCTTCCCCACCATCTCAAAGTAATCATTCTAATTTCTCCTCATTAAAACAAATGCACATTTTTTGGTTAGGAATTTCTTTAATGAGGAAAGTTGGATTGATACATAATTAGTATCATATCCTGTGTTATCCAAGTCTATTTTATTTTTTTCTAAGGGTTGTGAATTATTAAACAAATATTATGTGACTATTTATACACACTCAACTGTGTGACGCCTATTAAGATTTAAAATGAGTACTATATTCTCTCCACTATCGTAGCTGCTACCTTAACGTGGTGGTCGGGCTTGCCTAACGTGATGACTCAGCCGAGTTGTATTGGCTAGAATACACGTTCCTTTAGGTCCTAACATACCGAGAAGCTTGGTTGTAGAACGGTAAGAGTAAAAGAAGCAACTTGGGCACCGAGGGCGAAGTCGTACTGCTGATTGAAGAGGAGTGTGACAGGAGTAAGGTGTTTCCTGAGGACCGCCAGTATCGGTAGCGATGTTGTCTTTTCATAACGGAGAGAAGAGATTTGAAAAAGTCGACCCTAAAAATATCACACCTCATCTTTCCCTACGGATTTCCGTCTCAGGCAGTAAGTCCTTTTGAAGGGCGGAGCTCACTCACCAAAACCACCCCATAAAAAGGCCATGCGCTGCCAGTCTCAAGCAGTTTTCCCTTGTGTTCTGGGGTTACGCTTCCAGGTCACTAAGACCACCACTAATTCAGCTTATTTCTCAAGTCCCCCAAAAAGAAATATACTACCACACTGTCGACAGCCGAGAAATGACAACCAATGATTGCACTTCGGGCGAAGTTAACGATGAATTTCATAGGAAGCTATCCAACCTTCTTCAAAAACTTAAACGCTCTGATGTATGGTGGCAGGTGATTTTAATGTCAGACCAAACCGAAAGGCAATTAAGCTGATCTTACTGTGTTGCGGCTCAGCGAACAAATAATCGCAACCGTTCATTGCAACTATCTTCAGATAACCTTCTATTTCTGGCAAACACCAACTTTAAACATAAGGAGAAACATTGTCTAAAGTGGCGACTTCCACAATCGACTAATCGATGGACTCAAATAGACAGCATCGCTATTAGCCATCATTGAAGGGGCTCGACTGAAGACCGCAGCTCATTCTGAAGCTGATATTTAGACTCAGATCATGGTCTAGTTCGAGCATGTATTTGTTCCCGTCCTACTGGACATAGAAAGGCCACAACAAGAAAACCCCTTAGATTCCAACTTATTGATGAAAAAGTTGGGGATATATTTTAGTAACAACTCGAGCGTAAGTTAGTCAATCGTGAAAATGATATCCATCTTGAGGCAGCTTGGTATGTTATTCAAAAGGCTGTGGAAACAGCAGTGATATCTACTAGCAACTTAAACCAAAAGTTTAGGAAAAGATCAGTGTATTTCAGTGACGTCTACAGAGATGATAGATGCTCGCGAACTTATTCTATCTGGCTGTGAACACAATGAGGAGCGAAGACACTTTAAAAGTAAGTTGATAATAAACCTACGTAGTGATCGTGAGCAGTGGTGGGTAAAAGGGTGAAAAAGGTAGCTGCGATAGTAACAGTAGACAACTGTTCGGACTTATTACGGCTGTTAGTAAGACTATCACGGAAAAAGATGGAACTATTATTTACTCTCAATCCAGGAGATTGAACTGATTAGCAGAACACTTTAGGAAACAGTCCAACTGGCTTTCAGCTACACTTCAGTTACCTACTATTTCCAATCAACCTGAATGACGAACTGATGTAATGCCTCCAACTCTTAGTGAAGTTGAAAAGGCTGTAAGTAACCTAAAGCGTAGGAGAGCAGCAGGGTCTGATGTATTAACCCATGAGATTTCCAAGGTTGGTAGCCAAGTTCCAGATATTGGATTGACTGAGATCTTAGCCAGAAACTGGGAGCTGGATATAATCCCATCTGACTGGCCTCGATCGCTGATCGTTCCAATCTATGAGAAGGGACAAAAATCCTCTCATGACAACCACAGGAGTCAGTTTAACTAATATAGTTTCTGAAATATTAGTCTCAATAATACTTCGACGTCTAACTAGAGCTCCTGAAGAGTGAACCCGAGAAAACCAGGCTGGTTTCAGACCTGAACATGGATATATGGACCGAATATTCCTTCTTCGGCAGATTCTTGAACATAGATATACTTTTCGACGTCCTACTATAGTTACATTCTTTAACCTTAAGGCAGCGTACGACTCTGTTGGTCTTGAGGTTTCGTGTCAGTTTCTGTCATTGAAAGGCATATCGAAGGAGCACAAACTTGTACAAGCTCTTTACTCGAATATTACTGATCGAATCAAATCGTATGGTGAAACGGTCACTTCAAGTGGTGGTCGTTGGGGTTGTCCACTTTCTCCATTTTTATTTAACTTCTTCATAGACGTGCTTTTAGAGATAAGACTTCAATCGTCTAACTTTTCAGAAGTTGATCTTCTACCAGGAGATTCACTTGTTGACTAGGAATACGCAAATGATACAAATCTGTTTGGCGAAATCGCTGACAAAATGCAGAGTCTTCTGGCCACCTTACGCGACAATGCAAAATGTTTGGGATGAAGTTCTTTTCCTTCAAATGAAAGATGCTATTTCAGGATTGACCTGCGTTACCGCCTAAACTAGTGATAGGGAGTGAAGTAGTTGGACACACCGGCCACTTCACCTATCTTGGGAGTATACGAATAGTATAAGATGAATCTTCACTCAACTTCTCATAATTAGATTACATCTTTTTAAAACTATACTGACTACGTAAATATGAAATCATCTTCAACCTACATTATCTTCATCCTTAACAGAATTTCCATTGGAATCTTCATCTGTCCCAATCCCTTCATCAACTGGTTCTCCAATTTTATAGATTACCTTGATTTTGAAGTAAAAAGATGATTCATATGAAACTATGATTAAACAATAGGAAACAACTTCTTAAGATTATCTATAGACAGACTAAGTATAGTAATACAGTTCATCGTAACAGATATTGTTGCATGTTTGTGTCTAGTTGTGCGTGTGTCAACATACAGTGCTTTATAGCCTCATTAGAAATAATTTGCAAAAGTGAATTGTTGAAACATTTTTACAATCTGAAAATAATTGTCATCAAATATCGACATCAACTATGGAATCACAAAAGAGTGGGGAGAGTTGTAAAGTTGTTTTATCTTAATTCGAAACCCCACTAGTGTAACCATTCACGAAACACATGGTACTGAACTCATGAAATTCAAGTTTCAAAATGATATAATGTGGACATTAGACAATGGCATCAGTAGATAAATTGTTTCACTCATTTATACAGTTAACTCCATCTGTTACTTTCCCATCGGAACTTCTGGAAAATTATTCTGAAATCTGTAGCTAAAGTTGAAAATCTGAATCACTAGATTTCAGCTCAGTAGTTCCATATTGCTGTTTTTACCACTGTAATTAAAGGTCATGGGTTCAATCTTGTACATGGTCGTCGGCGAGTATTGTTGTGGATTTTTACTCTTGAACGAAATAGCTATCAAATATTCCCTCGTTTTCAGCAGTTTGCGATGGGAATCATCGAATAATTTATAATTCAGAAAAATGCATTCAATATAATATGACAATCAAGAATAGCATTTGATGTGATTCACCATTGTTAGAATGGATGTCAGTTCAAAATTATACTTGAACGAAATAATACCTCTTCAGACTTGAAGAAATCAAATACATATATGAATGCATTACTTACATACTAATTAAAGACAATAAGTCAGTATTTCACAATAGTGAGCATTTAACACTTATTATATATATTTTTATGATAAATTTAATCAAGATACAAATCAGTCGGTAAACCTTTAGAAAGCCAAGAATCAATAAGCTATTGTATGATAACTTTGGAATGCTAATCAGTAAGATGCTTCTACGATTGCGGACCTAATTTGTATTATAATTTTAGAGTTCATGTTCGTTACATCTGACAAAATTTCACTCTGATTTAATTATCAACCTATTGAGTACCGGTAAAATTTTTCTCAACTGTAGTAATCAAATATCTTTTTGAATATTTAGTCTCTAACCAAAAAACTGAACTAATAAATTGTAATGATAATTACATTCATACTTACACCCAAGTCAATTTCATAAGCTAATTGTTGTTGTTCTGTTAGATCTAAATTATTATCACCATCTTCATCGTATTTCACAAAAGTTGTAAAAATTTCTGGTTCACTATATCCATGGCTTTATTGATTTATTTGTACGATAATGAAAAAAAGGGAATGGAAAAGTACAATATTCAATTAGAATAAACTTTAAAGACTTAACTGCCATTTAAACAGTTTTTTTGCAGTGTTCAAATAATTACAATTTCCAGAAACTGTTTTGTTTTTATAATACACTTGATAATGTATGAGCTAATAAATAAAAAGATTTGATCAGATTGAATAATAACTAGGTTTCAACATTATCTGAATGTATTATTCAGTTTAAATTGTATTGAGATAATCTATCGTTTAGTTTCGAGATGATAATGATTGAGTGAGCTAATAAGCTCTATCTTAATTCTCGCCAAGTTACAGGATTATTAAAAGATCGTAGTGTTTCTGTGACCAAAGAAATACTGCGCAGAGAATATACGACTATTTGTACAGATGCTCAACCAAGTTAAAATTACAATATAAAGATGGCTGAATAGTCTATTCTGATAGATTAAACTAAACAGCAAATAAGACTTTTCACATAATGTAGCAGGATAAATTAATAAGTGAAATAGATAAATATTCATCTCACTTAACAAAGTCTAAAATATTGAATTCTGATTTAACCACTTCTTATTAGTAAGATTTATGAGGATGATTCTAATTTAGAATACGTGCTCAAGTAGGTAGGGCTGATTATCTACTAAATTGAAATAATCTGTTACATTCAGTACCTTAGTGAGCAGTTTGTTCTATTTTAGAAGTTCTACAAGATCTTGTCACAAACATAATGCATGATTACTAACCAAAATAATATGAATATGTCAGTCTGGATTGAATTTGGTAGTTATGGTAATGCTTTGTTTTTCACTTCACTGCTTTAAATCTGGATCTTATAATTAAATCTTTAAGCTCTATTCTATCACAACAGCCAAAAGACTATGCAATTGACAGAATTATACAGAATTCTAGCATAATTTCTTTGAAATTCTTTTATCTTCTATTTACAATACGTATTACCACTAAATTGTAATGATGATAACAGAATGTTTCCTTTCAGAAATATAAGAGGCCAGATAAAAACAATACGAAGTTCTATTTTGGCACATTTTATTGATAGCGGTCATAATGTAAATAAGTTGGAAGCATTTCCCTACAGAGTTTATCCCTGTCTCCTACATATAGCTGAAGCCATTAGAATTCGTACATTTAACCCCAATTTATGTGTTCAGAAGAAATTCGTGACCCCCTTTCAAAAATCATCAATTTCATTGATGAAAAAGACCGTACATTCGAAATTACTATTATTATATAACTTTATCCAATAAGATTAAACAGGCAAACAAAAACTTAATAGTTAATCATTAACTAAATAATTTATTTTTTTGGTTTACCTTTTTAATGCTTGACGATAATCTTCATAGGGTAATTTTTCTTTACCCATCAATCCATATTCTCGCAATATACGAACAATCGATTTAGATCGTTTCTTTTGAACTCTTTTAGCTAAATCTTTAGCTTTCTAATAATCAATAGAAAATGAATTTGGACAAAAATCAATTTGTGCAAAAGTACATTAATCAGTCGTAATTGAAAAACAAATCATTATTAGAGAAGAATTTCAGAACGTACTTTATAAATAAAACAATGAATTTAATAAAGAAGAATCCTTTAAAACATGTTTATTTTCAAGACTACTCAATAGAGATTAATAAGAAATAGCAGATTGAGGACATTGGTCGTCAAATATTTTACTCTGAAATCGTTATGAACTCATTCATAACAAGTGTTTAAGTGTTTTTAAGGAGTATATTACGTCTTCTTTGGTAGTATATACAAGTAAATAACTTTATCCGAGTATGTGATAGAATAAATCTATGAAGTTTTCTATAACTAGTTTCAACTATTTGATGAAATGTGTAGGTTTTTAAATGAATTTGATATTAAGTGATAAAAACATAAGTTAGATTTTCACGTTTTTAGTTCGCTGTTAAAGATGAATTCATTAACTTTCTGTAAATATAAGATTTTCAGCGGTCTAGTGGTTAAGTGCTCACGCGTGATACTGACAGGTCCTGGATTCGAATCCCACGAGGTGGGGTCGTGGATGCGCATTGCTCAGGAGGACGAACCAGCTGTCCAATGCTTCCAGGTTTTCCATGATGATCTAGCTCCAATTGACTGTTGATGTCAACAAGTGATATAAGATTTTCTGTGTGTTTCTACTTTATTCAATTTATCGGTATTATTTACTGATGAATTATTTTGATCATTATATTAAATCCTATTATCACTGAATTTTGTATTACATCACATTAAATTGTATCCAATCGTACACAATTGCATTATTACATAATTAGATTAATCGAATAATTTCTTACTTTTTTAAGTATATGCCCCAATGTTACATCATTTTTCTGTTGAATTAATTCAGCTTTTGTTGTTTTATACGATTCATCAATAATGGCAAGAAACATATTTAATAAAACAAAAAATACAAAGAAAACAAAAGTCACAAAAAATATTGGTCCTAAAACAGGATGAGCTTTTAGAATGGATGGAAAGTCGATATCACCAACCATTATACGAAATAATGAATAACTAAAATAAATAAATAAATAAAGAGATAGACATTTATTAAATATTAAATTATTAAGTGTATAGCCATATGAATAAAATTGTTCATAAATTGAGATTTCTACTTAGGGAGATCATATTAACAGGTTGGTTAATATATATCTATCTAGAAACTGTTGTTTTAATTGGTCTTTTACGCAAATTCAATTTAAAATGTAACTTTCATTATAAACAGATATTAATTAAAGGATATAGATTAATTTGAGTGTATTGACCACTTTACGTGTCTTGGAAGTTTCATCAGCTCTGGTGAGTTGTTTCCCGGAGAAATTTCACCACTAATTTAAAAGGGTTTGTTAACATTTGCTAATTTGCGTTAAATGTGGAATAGGCGAGATGTCCGTTTGCTAACAAAAGGGAGCGTTTAATGAGCAACCGACCTCTCTGTGTTACTTTACAGTTGTGAAATCTGGTCTTTGCAATTAGAAAACTTGCGTACGCCAAAGGAATTTGGTCATTACAATCTTGAAAATCTTGTTTTTATATTGTGGAACGACAAAGTGATCTATATTGAGTTTAGACAAGGGATACTATGGGACTAGTTGATGAAGTTGTATGTCTTCAGAGACTGAGACGGTAAGAATATGCTTAACGTCTATCAAACCACCACCTAAATCGACGAAAGACACCTACTTGTATGAAAATAAGTTAGAAGAGGGCTAATCGCGGCCAAACAAATATTTCATATTAGATCATGAAGTTATTGATTAGTGGTCTAAGTAATATTGGTAAACTCAAACTCTTTGGTTGGAATGCTCGTTATAAGTTGGATCAGTGATTGAAAACTTTCAACGGGATGACTCAGAATCATTCACAATCGTAAAAATACATTCACTCTACATTAAATTTCAGCATTCTTTCACGTATACTTCTCTACTTTACCTTTTAGAACAATAATCCCAATATTTACTAATTCTCCTTACTACAAAGTTATTTAGATTAGTTTGCTTTTCGTCTTGTTATTATCATCTTATCGTGCTAGTATGGTGAGGCGACTCTGGTTAACCCATTTTTACGACAAACTCTATGTTAATAATGATATCCCTCTGTTTATTTTTCATGAGAGTGCACTAACTACTTCACATGGGATTAAAATCAGGATATTAAGATCAGTTGACGAGTACGATACTTTCTATCTATCGACCTGGTTTCTAACAGCTCTTATTTTTAAATTTAGTCAGTTTATGATGTAACGCCAGTTTTGTTCATTGTATATCATGGACACATTCTGGAAAAAGACTTTATAATAATGGGACAAAAAAGGACGTCCAGTCCTTCTTTGGTTTTTATTTATTCATCGGTCGGTAGTATTTTATAATAAAAATCATAAATGAAGAAATAGGCAGTGACGAGGTAAGAAAGTTCAACTAATTTCATTGTCTAGTCAGGCATACTTGACAATCCTATCACTGATGAACTTTTAAAATTCTGCGTAAATGGAATTTATTGAAAAATGCTTTCGAGTTGATAAATTATCCCATATTACAATTAAATATCATAGTTGAATTCATGAGCGAATAAAGCTAGACCACCATAGAAAACCTGTAAGCACTGGACGGACGTTTCGTCCTAGTATAGAAATCCTCCATGATGGTTTGGCTTTAATTGACTCATGAATCCAACTTTTAAGTTACTACAATCACCACAAAACCTCTTTCTGATAACAAACATCATGTACTCACTAATGGCTGGCTTCAAGAGGTATTTCCTGGAGTTACAGTGAAAAGTCATGACCAGTGGAGTTCAACCGTGTTTATTGTAAGATAGTAACTCACTGAAGACTATGGTGGACGGTGGCACAATTCCGTAGATTGGTTGAAGTTAGACACTAACACTGTTGGAAGCCGGGTGCTATAACTGTGACGGCAGCCGATTAGAGGGTAGCGAATTATTGATCGGACCAAAGACGCGCAAACACGTAGAACGGCCTAGGGTTCTGATTGATCCCGCTTCCCTGTCTAGCCCAGCCAGTTGAGTCCATAACGCAAGCCTTAGCCTCGGATATATGGATCATTATATTTCAAACATACTTTGTTTATATACCAGTGAAGCAGACCACATCGTACCATAAAATAGAAAATAACATTGTACAATATTGACCAGTAGGAAAATGACACGTTAAATGAATATTAACCAATGAGATGATACCATTTCATGTCCAAGGATAGCATTAGACTTAACAGAATAATTTTTGGGATATTATTCTGAATATCCCAACACCGGGTTCAATGGTCTACAGGTTAAGCGTTCGCGCGCGAAATGGAAGATCCTGGGTTCGAATCAAGCGACTGGGATCGTGGGTGCGCACTGTTGGGGAGTCCCATACTCAAACGAGACGGCCGTTCATTGCTTCCAGGTTTACAGTGTTGGTTTAGCGTTAATTGACTCACAATTACTACAATCTCCACAAAACCCCTTTTTAATAATAATTAAATATCAAACAACTTTCGTTATTCACAAACCTAAAATCCCTATCTCATTTATTTTATGAATGATTATTTACTTAAACTAAGTAATATGTTTTATAGTGAAATTAAATGATTATTTCCAGAAAATATAATCAATGATTAGTGTATTCATCATTCTGTATTTCACCTAAATTGAATGAATTGTCCTAATGAAGACTAAGTTCATTAAATGAATATTTAATCTGTATGCAACAAATTTTATCTGAAACTGTAAAGACAATCTGTTAATAATAAGAATTGTGAAAGAACTTCCAAAATTATATGTTTAAGACTATTCGTCAAAACTATCGGCAGACCTCGAATAAACAGCTTTCTTATTGTGGTAGTATTGTTTGAATATTGTAAATATGAACATCACATCACAAAGAACTTTTGTCAAATTTTATATATTCAATTTGAATAACGTTACTATTACTATTATTACATAATGTTCATTTTTTAAAATTTGCCATGAGGACTTAATATAAGATCAGTATTCATATATTTAGATGAGAACCTTAAGGTATATTTCAGAAAAATCATTTACAAATACACCTTATTAATATTGTGTTGTGTGTTACTTATATCCACATAAGTAGCATATAACAGTGGTCAGGCAAGGGATGTATTTCAGTAGAAGGTCGATAAGGAAGGGACGGGAACGGAACATAATTGGTATGAAAATGCAGGAACAATGAAATCTGAGACAATGGACTGATATTTGCAAGAGGAACAGTCAACTTTGAGACGGTGGGTTGATATTTTGCAAATTAACGACTTACTACATGCTTCTCAGATTTGTTTGACATGCTCCACAATTTTGTGTCAAATACATTTTAGTTGTCCCCACTCATGTTTTTGTTCACAACAATATGAGTGCTAACTAACGAAAAATCTATTTATAATATTGTTTGTCTATCCCTTCCAACCAACTAGATACTAAAGTGAAACTGATTTATCGACAACATTTGAGCAACACTAAGGTGACCTTGAGGATGTCTGCCTACTAAGTACGACTAAATAAAGGTTACAAAGCAATGTGAGGAATTAGAATTATGATGTACAGTTGATGATCAAGGTTGGGAAATAGATTTTGGATTTTCATCACGAATTGACATCAGCTAAAATGTCAAAACTCTCTTTAGCCAAATAGATGAATGAATTTCTCTCCAAAATCTTATATCTGATTGGTTCGTCCATAAATAATAGTCACATCGACATTAAAAAAAACCGTTATATTATTCGATCTACTTAACTTCATGGTTATAGTCCATCTGAATTAATGGGTATATTTGATAAACAAATATAACAGTGATCTAATAGTGAAGTTTTAATGTTTATAGATTATGTAATGAATCAATTACAGTTTTATCTTGATTCACAATTCTATTAGAATAATAATAATAATAATAATAATAATAATAATAATGATAATAATAATAATAATAGTGATGATAATACTTACGTTGTTTGAGTAAATGAACTATACGCTAATGTTCTTGCACTAAATGCTAAATAACCCAATTGAGCAAACGCGAAATACACAATACAAAACATAATTAAAAATCCCAGTAAATCATAAGCAGCTACACTCATTGTTCTTGTTAATTGATTTAATGAACGATCAATCGTTAAATATTTGAAGATCTGTTTTTTCGAAGAGGAAAGGAAAAGGAGATTCAGAAAAAGATTATTTACAGAATTAGAGAAAACTTCATTTATATTTATTTAATAAAAATAGCTCATTCATAATTCATACATGTTTCTAACTATTTGTCTTGAAAAAAGTAGATTGAAATGAATTTCGAATGAATTTGAACCTTACCATTGATGTTTATGATTGGAATTGATCAGTCTCTTATTATTGGCTTATGTTCATACTGTGTGTATTGCCTGTGATATTGTCTTAAGTCAAAAGCATTCTAAGCAAAGATGGACAGTGGTCAGGAATGAATAACGCGATGGCGTTTGAAGCGAGCGGTACTGGGTTTAAGTCCCAGAGTGAACATCAACTCTGAGATGAAGGTACATCCAGCTGAGGAGTCCCAAATAGAACGAAACGTGCGTTCTATATTCCATTGCTAGTCACTGTCCATCTTTGCTTATAAGCAATAAAATTATTCACAATTAATGTACATATCAAACTTATCGATTGAAAAACTTTATAGTTCCATTTAGTATAATAGTAATATCTTTCTAATTATCTTTAATCATTTGAAATAAAAAAACTCTTCAAAAGAATAAAGTTACTGATTCTAGGGGTTATGTGGAGAAACTAAGAGGTAGTTGAACATGGCACTGGTTACTGTTAAGTGATAAATTGATATATCTTAGTGCTATGAGAGGTCAGTTACGGTTCAAATTATTCAGTCGTAATCTCTTTAACTTTGAAACTCGGAAGTGTATGTTTATACTCCTTATGGAGCGTCAGTTCTTTCATGCTTGCAAATATTCTACTCTGACTAGTGCCAACTGGTATGGATTGTATTTACAGGTGTAAAAATCTAAATAAACTGCAATATTGAGTCACTGAGACTAGTGGTCATGTTACAACCTGACTGATAGTGTTCAATCATTACTGAGGATTGGACAACATGAAATCGATGTTTAATAATTGATCGATCGGTTTAAAAGCTTAAGAATGACACGAACTGATTATTTACAAGAACTTTAAGTAGCAATTAATGGCTTATTTTTGGTGCATACAGATGTTTAAACCGACGTATGATCTTGAGATGCAGAAGATTTGTATCTCGGTAGGAGAATTACGCAAGTGTTATGTTCTTTGAACTGCGAAATTGGACTGTGGAGCTTTAATCTTTTTTTCCGATAATATCATCAAAATCTACTATGAAGCAGTTCAAGTAAATATTTCTTATACATAACAACTTTAGCCTTTAACTGTCTAACGTGTCGTTAATTAACCGAAATAAAATGGAATACATTTGAACCATGATTTTGACAGTTTCATCATAATACATCATAATACGTTAAATTATGTATCATTTAATCAAATCAATAAACAAAAATGATCTCTTTACTAAACCAAATTAGTTTTAATGAAACAGAATGTAACTAACCTTGATTATTCCAAGAAATACACAAATTGCCATTGATCTTATATGGTGACTATACCAATAAGCAAGATAATCGAAATTTGGATAAGACGAAACATCACTAATTAATGAAGACATATTGTTTGAAACAATAATAGTACTATATATTAAAAAGGCTGCACATATTATACTGGCTACAATCATTGTAATATCCATTAAGTTCCAAATATTTATAAAATATCTCCAACGTTTAACTGAAAACTAATAGGGAATAAATGAAAATGAAAGAAAGTGTAGGAACACAATCTTCAGCTAATATTTCTAGATAATTTAATATAACTTGTTAAACACTGAAGTATTTAAAAAAAACCCATTCTTTATAAGTCTCTAAACCGATTCGGTTTTTTTGTTCAATAATACTAACGAACTGTTCAGTGTTGGGCTTCCAGACAATCACAAAGAATCAAACTTAAATCTTTTATATACCACAGTGTACAGTTTAAGCACTAAGTCAGAAATAAATGATTCACATTTCTTAACTCCATGCAGTTCGTAATCCATCACGATGATTGTTATATACCATTGATGATTGATTACAACACTTCATACTTAACTGATTTCACAGGTTATCGTTCATTTCGAAGTAAATCATTAGTTGAGTAGATGATTACAATTTAGTTAAATTGATTGTGGATATATATTTAAAATGATAAAGTTATCCTCTTCTGAAATGCAGCAGGAAATATTCCTAAAAAGGTTGAAAAGGCTGATATATTAAAATAAGAAGCAAAGATAACCCATTAAAATCAACGGAACCGACAATAATAATTCTATGTAAAATTGGAACCATATGTGAGAAATCTACTTAGTAAATTTGATAAATCTTAGAATATAACTAATGAGATAAATGAGTTATTAATTATAATTATAACCGTAGGGCTCTTTAAAAAAGTAAGTAAGTAAGTAAGTAAGCAAGTAAGTTAGTAAGTAAGTAAGTAAGAAAGTAAGTTAGTAAGTAAGTAAGCAAGTAAGTAAGCAAGTAATTAAGTAAGTATTCAGTCAGTCAGAAACTCTGCATGTGACTTTTTAGTTTCTTGACGTTTCTGGCTAAACTTCTATTGAACGCTGACTGGATAGAACGCGTCTTAGTGTTTCCTGAACCTTTTTTGACTTTTGAGGGAAGTTTACTGGATCAACCCAACAGTCAAACAATAATTAAATTAATTGGATTCGATTTCTGATGATTAGTTAGGTGTGCACTTGTTAAGAAATTTCAAACAAGGTTGACAAAGATGGCTAACATGTTTCGACGTTTTGTTGATCTTGGCTGATGAAAACTATCTTAAAGTTGTTAGATATTTCATTATGATTTCACTAACTGTATTGTATGTAAATAATAAATAATTTAAACCAGATGCAAAATATGTAAGATAAATTAGTTCTGTATATTTACCTCAAGTATCTCTTCAATAGTATAATAGGCAAGAAAAACCAAATACACAATTTCACATACTAAAACAAAGTAATCAGTCACTGTTTGATAACGAAATAATCTGACTGGTTGAACTATAGTGCTACCAAATAATCCACCCGACTCAGGCATTTCAAATATGATTCTATAATATTTTTTAAAGGGAAAAAGTGTACAAATATTTTCAATTTACAATTATTTTACATATTAGCAATAAAATAAGGATAAAAAACTATATATTCTATTCATATTACGAATAGTTAAGCTGGCTGGGCATAGATCCCACGTTGGCATGTAATCCAAGCATATCGTAGTCAGCAATTATCGTTATACTTTCACTTATTTATTCACTCGGTTGTAGATATTTTGGAATCATTTCTATTATAGAACCGATTGGAGGTATGACTTTTGCTATTTTGATTTCTGTTCCATCATGACTGACTGCGCCAAACTTGAAACGCATGTACCATGATGGAGTAATATTTTATTCGTAGAAAACTTTACATCTTTCGCGTTAGCAAGCAAAATCGACAGGGAATGAAATATACATATCATGGACTACGATAGTGTAAATAATAATTCTCACTTCATTTCGACTGGTGGCCAGTTATAACGTCATAACTGCGAATGAGAATGTAATTGAATTTGGAAGTGTTAGTGCCGAAGATCAAGGCCATTAAATAAATAAATCAGTAAACAAAATTAATCAAACTAGCGGAAGTTATTAATCTTTCTATAACTGTTTAGTTGCTGATTGATGAGCTGCATAGCTAAAAAAAATAATTATTTGTCAGTTTAGGATCGCGGAAATTGTTGAGTTTTAATGGAGATCAATAATTTAATGATAACATTTTAATGTATGATATTCAACATTGATCATAACAACAGAATTTTAATGATTGAATTCATGAGTCGATCTAAGCTAGACCATCAGTGAAAACCTGGAAGCATTGTATGGCTGTCTCGTTCTAATATGGAACTCTTCAACAGTGCGCATCCACGATCCCGCATACGGGATTTGAACTCATGACCTTCGGTCTCGCTCCCGAACGCTTGGCCTTGATACCACTGAGCTGGCATTCATACCCCCTAACTAAACCAAACGCAGACATTTTTATCCTTATAAGCTCCAAACTTTTAAATGCAACCAGGTGAAACGTCCAGTGATTGATTCGAAAAGTATCTATGAAATCTTAACATCCAAATTAACTTTTTTCCCATTGATACTACTTTCAGAGTTGTAACAATAAAATTTATCAGTATGGGGTTGTGGAGATTGTTGAATGTCATTAAAATCATGAACCCATCTAAGTTAGATAACCATTGAAAACTTGGAGGCGCTGGATGGTTGTTTCGTCATAGTATGAAACTCCTCAGAAGTGTATACCCATGACACTTCACATGGGGATAAAATGGACTTAACAATTTTTATGTGATTACCAGCGACTGACTTCAAGAGAAAACTTTCGAAGTCGTAGCGAGAAACCGTAACCAGTTGAATTCAACCATGCGGGGTGTGTGGAGGTACTCACAGAAGACAATGAAAGATGGTCGCGCAATGTTGCCGACTGATTAAAGTAAGACATTAACACCATTAGATCCCGGTTCAGTAATTTAGAGGTAAGGCGTTCGCACGTGGGACCGAAGTTCTTAGATTTGATTCCCAGTTGAGGTATTGTGGTGCATATTTCTGAAAGGTCAGACTTCCCTTCAGTGCTTACAGCATTTCAATTTTTGTCCAACTTTGATTGGTTCATGATTCCCGTGAAATTTGAATTCAGCAAAAAGAAATATTTGTCAGACTTTTAATAAAATCATGACAGCTAAAACTAGAAAGTCGATAATGTAACGGAGGAGATTTCCCAGATGCCAGAAAGGGAATGGATATAAATATTAATATTATTGTATCGTTTTAGAACGAAAATCATTATTACTTACTTTACTATAACAAATATGTTTACATTTGCATTATATATTGTAAAATCAATAAACAGTGCACGAGTTGATTGGTCTATCCATCGACCTTGAAATAACTCATTTAAAATGGCTACAGTTTCATCATTTGATCTGGACAAATCTTGTATATAACCGGAACCATCATAATAACCATATGGTGCAGAATAACTGGTAGCTCCTGTCACATGAGAATCACTAAAGTCCCATCTTTATTGGAAAAAAATCATTAACAGATAAAAGAACATCAGATAAACACTTAATTTAATGACATATTATTTTGGACTACTAGCCCAATAACTTTAGCATCGACAAATTCATCGTCCGAATAAGTGTTGAAAACTTGGTCAGTAAAAATAATATCAAGAAACATGTTATTACTTTCACTTTAAAGGTATCGTTTTTGTTTCATCAACAGTCGACGGATTAGTTGTGTACAAGTTGTTTTATTTGTTCACATTTATCAAATATTACTAAACACAGAACAATAGCTTTTCATCTTTGAAGGTGACACTTGCAGAGCTGGTTACTGTCATGTGTTAATCTTCCTAAGGTACAAAAACTTGTCGGAGCATGTTTTTCAATAACAGCCAAACTAAATGCTTTTTTATACAAAGAAAAATGTTATTGTTTTTGATTTTGTACAAAACATAACCATGGCTATATGTGATATTTGAATGAACTAATGATTCCTTTGTACTTGTTGAATGTTTGATTTCGAATTTCAAATGCAGTACATTCGTTCGTGTTTGTCTAGTACTTCTTGGTTCCATTGGGTTATTTCTGGGATTCTTAGTTTATAATATAATTCAAATACTCCTAATTATCATAATGACACAGCGATTGAGCCTGTGATGGAACGGTTGGACATACATTCAGATTTTGATGCTTTTGAGGATTACTTGGAAAGGTTCGAAATCTGGGCTATGACCAAGGAAGATATTGAGGATGTTAATATTGTGGCACACTTCCTCACATTCATCGGAAAGGAAGCATACAGCTTATTAAAAAATCTGGCTTTACCGGAGAAGCCTATTTCGCTTCCTTATACAACTCCCAAGGAACTGCTGCTAGACAATGTTAAGTATACAAATTTCGATTGCTGTAACGGGAGATTTCGTAAAATGATTCATAAGAATATAAAAAATTCCACTACACTACGTCACCCCAACCCAGTGCATACTTAAGGTTATGCAGATAATTCATTTAGGAGTTGCGATGAAGTTCGCGAAGATGGGCACAAGTTTGGTCAATGTTTGTCCTGTGGCAGGTTCCACTCTTTTAATTCATGTAAATTTCGTAATTCTAAGTGCTTTAAATGTGGTGATATTGGACATATTCAGTCAGTTTGTAATAATACTGTTCATCTTACTGCAACTAATATTAAGTCTTGCAATCCTAATTCTATTAAGTTGAGTATTTATAATGATCATTTATCCTTATCAACGATTTCAAAAGACAGTGTCGAGTCATATAGCAGTACAGAGTTAAGTGAAACTCAGAATCCTTGCGAGACAACAGTTTCTAATCAATTCAATTGGGTTATTTCTGGGATTCTTAGTTTATACTATAATTCAAATACTCCTGATTATCATACTATAGTTTGGCGTGCATCTTTTGATCATTATTAAGATATATATGATCATTTTTAAAAACTTTTTATAGAATTCCAGGTATCAAATTTTTCAGATTCATCTTACAAACTAATCAGAATTTTCAGTATAGGGTTGTGGAGATTGTTGAGTTTTAATTGAGATCATGAACTGATCGATGTCAGACCACCATTGAAAACCTGGAAGCATTGTACGGCGGTCTCTTTTTGTATGGGACTACTCAACAGTGAGCATCCACGATCCCGCATACGATACTTGAACCCAGAACCCTCGGTATTGTGCGCAAACCCCTAACCTCTTTACCACTGAACTGGCATCTGACGGCGTTAGTGCCTAACTTCAACTAATCCAGTGGGTTTCAATTTTGTCAGGTGTGAGGCATTTACTTACTAAATACAGTCGAGGACGATCACGCAATATCATGGATTTGTAGAAGTTAGACACTAACACTGTCGGATGCCAGGTCAGTGGTATAGAGGTTAAGAGTTTGCGCGCGAGACTGACGATGCTACGTTCAAATCTCGTGTACGGGATCGTGAATACGCACTGTTGACGAGTCTCATGCTTGGAAGTCACGGCTGTCCAGTGCTTCCAGATTTTCAGTGGCGATCCTACATTGATCAGTTCATGGTCTCAGTTAATAATTATAATTTTTAAAAATGATTTCTTCCAGTCGTAACAATCTAGGAATGTTAACTATTATCAGAAAAATAATAAGATCGATGATCCATATTGGATTCTGGATGATTACTACCAAGACATCATAAATTAGTGCAACATAGCTGTTCAGTATTTACTGGTTTTCAATGGTTTTTCTGGTGATGTCAGTTTTCAACGTAAGTTGCCTCCGAAAGTAATATAACCTACAAGCTGTTGCTACAATGAAAATTTAAAACAAGAGTTTATTTTTATATTGCACTTAAATTTTCGTTCAGTTGACTTTGTTTCACGCGTGAAACGTATAATGAGGTAGGTATTCATAAACAAATGAAGGTAACTACCAAATATCTAGTCTCAGTATCCTGAAGGTCTAATGCTTCTTATTCGTACTTTTAAATTAAAGTTAAATCTTCTAGACATTTATAGTGGGTGATTAATCATCTTTGTCATTTTATGAAAGTTAGGGATATGATGTTCTATTAGTAAAAGTTGACTATCAATTAAGCACACCAAGTTGCCAAATGACAATGAATCAAGACAAAGCAGTAATCTAGGAATAATAATACGTAAGACAATAGTTAAAACGTCTAACGAACTCTCATAATGAGAAGAATACAGAAATACAATAGTTCGGTTCTCAAACAATTACACGACAAGAACTGAATAAAATTATTGGTCGGAAAACACTCTTTCAAAAGCCACCACTTCTTTTTTATTTGCTCCGTTTCATCAGTACTGAAGTGTGTGTATCGAGTAGTTGCTTGAATCCAAATTTTTTAAGTTCGTCACTTTTCGTCACGTAATAAATAAACTAGTTGGATAAGTTTATCAGTTTAGCATTCTTTGTAGTGAGTCAGTTACTATCAGTCACTTATACTGAAGCAGAAGTTTCTGCTTGGTATCGGTTGCTTGAATCTTTCCAGTGATGTTTAGGACTGCAATTGATCATTGCTCAAGCAAGTGGCTATCAGAACTCAGTAGCTAAGAGGATAACGCGATGGAGTTTGAAGCGAAAGGTACCGGGTTCGAGTCCAAGAGTGAACATCAACTCTGAAATGCAGGTACATCCAGCTGACGAGTCCCAAATAGGATGAAACACGAGTCCTGGATTCGACTGCTAGTCACTATCCATTTTTATTTAGAAGTCTCTGTTGTTTCAAAAAGATATTTGAAGTAACCCTACTTCACATACCTCTGAACTTCCAGATAAATATCAATAAATATTCTTTGAAGGAATTCAGTTTATTTCATATTGGAAAAAATATTTTAAAAGAAGGCTTTATACAAATCAGACTGATCAATTGTTTACTGAAAAAGTTTGTTTTCTTCTTTAAATTCAGACAAACATTACGTGAGTATTTATAATCACCTCTGCCATATAACATTTTCAACACTAACGAAAACAAGCTATAATAATTCACAGATTGAAATCATGAGTCACTTGAAGCTAGACCACCATGGAAAACCTGGAAGCACTGGACGGCCGTTTCGTCCTAGTATGGGACTCCTCGGCAGTGCGTATCCACGATCCCGCACCCCGCGGGATTCAAAACCAGGACCTACTGGTTTCAACTGACTCATGATTTCAATCTGTGAAATTTCTAAAAAATCTTCACAAACCCCTTCTGATATAATAATTCATTCAAAAAGTGGACATTTAACAAGACAGTAACTTTTCGAATATACAATAGTTCAACAATAATTTAAACTTACGCATTTTTTGTGTAAATAGGTGTGATATTGCCTTGTATCTGTATTGACTTTGTAAAGCGTGCTTTTGTACTGTAAGCAGGATAGCATTTTTCTATAACACCTCTCATCTGTTTAGGTATATCACACTGTGATGGATCTACTCTAAGCTGTCGAAGACGTGCAACACCTAAAACTTTATTATCATGAGCAATAAAATCTTTTTCATTGAATGATACATTCAGTCGATTATACCATGCATCCCAATATAATGAATTCAATAATTGACCATTGATATACTTTGAAACAGGATAAATATTGTTTGAAAATAGAAAAAAAATTATTAAAAATGATAATAATAAATCTTGTTAAAATAGAAAACAAAAACAAATGGTCTCCGTTTTACTAAAATCCTCATTTAAAGAGCGACAAATAAAGGAAACAAGTTCCAACTAGCCATACCATCATGGGAGAAATAAGTTTTACAATAATGGTGATTATTATACATCATTATTTTCATGAATACCATTGAATTTTTAATGTTCTTACAGGAGCTCACATGTAATTGAGTTTGTTCACATATAATTTAGTCAAGCCCTTTTGTTTACTTATTTAACGGACAGTCATGAGTACAATAACAACTTATCTATATCATTTTATCTTTCTTATTGTTGCACTTGTATGAATATGTATGCTTGAGCAGTACTTACTGCCTACGCTATATTCATTTTGCTAGCTTTACTATTAGTCGCTTAATTGACTTGATGACTCACTCATTTCACTATGTATATGCACATTTTATTCGTGTTCATTGTCTCATTGACTCGCTCGCACACTCGCTAATTTGATTATCATGTTCACTCACTTGCCTGCTTGCATCTTGGCACTACTATTTCATGCTTGCTTAGTGTACCTGTAAATTTGGATATATGGACGAACTGTATACGAAGTTACGGATTATATTGAATACCGACCACCACATTCTTATCTAACGTTTGACTGACGTCAATTATTTGTTTACTGTAAAATATACATATATGTCGTTGTGGAGATATAGTTTAGGAATCATGGTAAAGAACTATATGCTGCATTCGTTGTATTTTAAAAAGAGTATTTAATACTGAAAAATTATTTTTGAATAATTAGAGAGATTACGGAAAACCAAATAAATAAGATTATCGAGATGTTAGATTTAGATATAGTTTTTATCTTTGATTGAAATCAAAAAAATAATCATTGAAAGGCAAAATGAAGTGGACATATTACAGTAGTTTGCATCTACTACTTAGAACTTGAATACCGAACATTTGGTTTTAATGAAGAGCGCGTTGTCTTTAGATTACTACGACAAAAACAAATGGTCCATTAGCCAATTTGTGTTGTAAAGAGATATTCATATTCTAAGTGATATCTTTTTCGCTTGTTTTTTTACCGATAATGGTTTTTATTCAAATTAAATAAGTCGTCAGGAACATATCAAATGGATAATGAATACTTACCAATGATTAATTTATAAAACTAATCAGAAATTGTGAACAGTAAATTTCAGCTATGTTTGAAGTGAGGCAGATATCACAGATGATATTAGAAGACAGTTCTACCTTATCGTAAGTTGACTAAAGTTAGAAATGTAAACCAATGGATCTAAAAGTAGTATGATATGAAGGTCCTGGGTTCGAGTTCATGTAGAGTTTGGAATTGTTGGAATATACAGTTTTCAACTGGTTAGATATCGGAAAGTTTCCTTTTTATTTCCGCCTTGTTGCTGCTTTTAAAATGTGATAACAACACCTCAGCCTTGATCCCCCTAATACCACAATACGCTATAGGAGAAGGCGGGTCTTGGTAAAAGGACTGTTGTTATTCTAGAGAGCAGTCAAAGTCTAATACAACTAACTTTTTTATACGACAACAAAGGTGATCTTAAGAACATATAATAAAGTAGTAAGCTATAACAAAAAATGACCAGACAGAGTATAATTAATGTCGATACGGTAATCACGAAATTTAGATCGCCATTGAATTGCTTACACTTTATTCTTGACTAATTGGAAAAAACAGATGATCTGAGCTTTTCTTAGCATTTATCGGTGTTCAGAATTAGCAAATTTGACGAAAACATTGTCCCATACGTTTTAGTTGACAGTGATTCTCTTATTGATTCTATTCCATGATAAAAACTACCGTCAAATGACTTAAATCTCCACACTTAACAAAATCTATATTCGTGTAACATATTTCATTTAGCAGTTAGAGTAAGGAAGATTATAATAAAACCTGGCCTTTAAAATCATAATGAGTGAACCTGTGTCTAAACTAATAACTAAATTTATAAATATAGAATATTTAGGGTATTGCACCAAAAACGTGAACAGTTACTGAATAATTTTTATGGAATATCAACTTTAGAGAAGTTATTACTACAATAAACACAACTGGTGTCTTCTGTGTTAAGAATGAAGTAAACTTATCCATACAACTAACATTTGATATGAATATATAACCATGTATGAGATGTATTTAAATTAATAGTTGATATCTAATCTTTCCCAGTTTGAACTATACAATAAATTTAAATAGAAAACTCTCAGGAATAAAAAGTTTGCAAGATTTAAAAGTGCTAACTTACATTCCACATAGCTGTATGATCATGAATATTTTGAAATGCTTGTGGACTATCAGATGTCGTTGAACCGTCCGTTACTACGAATCGATTGTATATACTTGTGTTGTAGAAATATGTCATTGAATTTAAAGTCGTCAAAGCAACTGAGAACAAAGTTGAATAATAGTTTAAAACATGCAGTATCTGTGCTTACATTAAAGATCATTTATCAGATATAATTCGAGTAGCGAAATATGAATAAGTAAACTAGAATGATAAAATAAAATAAAACGTTTAAGACCGCAAATCGAAATCATCAAATCGTTGATCTATTTAGAAATTCAAGATCGTATGAATTAATGATGTAAGTTAAAATCCATCGCTATTGAGATCAGGTCGGGTAAACTGGAGCTCTGGATATCCTAACAATCCTTACTACTATTCTTAGAAAGGCTGAGCTCGTTGGCATGTGATTTCAACTGTCAAGTATCATTACGCTTACCAAGGTAGTTTATTTAAGAACGAAACTCGATAAAATCAACCTTTAACATTTGGCTATGATAGAACTAGCTTGTTAGTAACACTAAGGTTTTCTAAATTTAACTTGAGTAGGGTTATTTTTCACAACTTACTCATTTCACGTTTATATATGAACTTACATCTTAGCGATATTTATGGACATATGTATATATTTTAAAAATCATTTGCCATTTTCATCCTTTTGCTGTTTTAAACTTTCGAAAACTAAGAAAATGTAACTGATTTTGCCAATGACTATCAAGAAGCTTTAATGGCTTCAAATGAGAATCCTGTCTTCTTGTGACTATTCATCAATAGTCACCTATTAATAATGGTAAACGTTGAACAATATGGATCAGTCTTATAAGTAAAATTCTTGAACAAATAGTCTCTTCATATTAAGATAGGTTTAATCATGTACTACGAATACTAAGAGCATTGAATAACTGTGTTGCCAAGCCTTTTGAGATATCTTAATAGTGCACTCCATCTTTATACTGAACAAAGATTCTAGTATATCAGAAAATAACTGAAGTTGAAACTATAGACCTCCGGGTTTTCATACATTGACCATATGGTATGACGTTGACCAGAAAACCTAAGGATTTATGGTCCAATCATATATGAATCTATGGGTACTCACTTATAAGGATTCCCGGATAGGCACCAAATGGTTATTTAGTACTAGTTAAATTTCAGTACTTATCTAACTAGCATCTTTTCATGATAGAAATTATCTTTTGTTCTAAAGTCGTTTATCTTATGATAAATAGCTCAAGGTAAACAGTTTACACAAAATATCTTTGGCTGTAACACTGATTGATAATGTTTACTTCTATAAAAAAAGTATAAAAAGCTTAACAGTTAAAGATAATGCTGGTTGATTAACGAAATATAATTTCAGGGTTTGGAATTTTTTTACATCAGATTTATTTCATTTTTACATGTGTTAAGATAGTTCACGGATGATTCAGTAAACAATGTAAATGTCGGTACGAAGTTTCATTGAAATTCTAACAAGTATGGATAACTAATTTAGTCTTTAAATAAATAATACATTTGTAATATCCCAATGAGTGGAAAATTAGATTTTCTAACGTTTCGTGACTTAGTGTAAGTCACTTCTTCAGAGAATAAATAACTAAATTAAAATTAATCCAAGTTTAAATAGTTTAAGTAATTTTAATTTGGTTATTTATTCTCTGAAGAAGTGACTTACACTAAGCCACGAAACGTCAGAAATCCAATTTTTCTACTCATTGGGATATTACAAATATACTATTTATTTATAACAATCTACCCAATGCTCAATTTATTCGAAATTATCTAATTTAGTCTTTGTTCTGGTTCATCGGTCATGAAGAAAATGTGTTATCTTACTCAAATATTCCGACTTTCAAGTATGAAGGAGTAGTAAAGTCGTCGTCAATACTGATAAGTATAAGTGAGTATATAAGCAAGTGATCTCTCGGTATCACTCTTCAACAATGTGTAACTAATACTCTGTATACGATCAAACCTATAACATTCAGCTCTAGGCTGGGATTCAATCGTCCACATTTTTGAAATACAGGAAATTCTTTTCGAGCCCACAATTGCCATAGGGTAGTGAATTAATGCAGTAAATTATATTTAAAAACACATCATAAATGAAACCACCAAATAAACAAAAATGAACCATAGCACCAAATCTTACTTATCAGTAGTAATGTCAAAAACACTATATACAGTAATAATTCTCTTAGTGTAGTACTTATGAATACTCTTCGATCAGTGGTATTGACTGTGTTACGCGTTGTCCAGATGGCTGTAATAATTTTTTAAAACGAAACGAAAGAAATATTGAAAAAAACATATCACGAAAATAATCTAAAACAAAGCTGTAACCACATCAACCGGGTCCCTGATTTTCGAAGACTTACTGCTCAATGGACAGTTTGTATCGAATTAAACAATTTTTAACTTCATTTTTCAATTTATTTACCCTTAGGTTTTTCTGTTATCAAGTGGCGACCAAGAATAGCTATTTAAATCACGTTGTTCTTCTGGCTAGACTAAAGTCTAAAACCTGTAACTTAAATCATCAGAAAATTATTCAGTAGAATTATCAAAGTACATCTACGTGATTCTATTGTTCATCCAATCTAAATTCTATGGAAGTAGTAGAAATAATTTTCATTCCGATGACAATTTACTAGATAGTACCAGAAGGAATAATGTTCACCAATAAAGTCGTGATTTCGCTACCGTATAAATGACCTGATGAACTCAAGTCATACAGTTTCACGTTTCAAATAAAATTTGAACATTAATGGAGATTACGCTCCATCAATATCTCAATATAATCATTTTAAAAAGTTTTTTCAGTTAATTAACTTAGCTTTTCTTGTAGTTTACCTGAAATCTAAAGTCAGTCAAGTATAAACTATGTTTGTTGTACGACTAGATTGATTGTACTTGAATATCAAAAGTAGGATGAAGATGTTGACAGTTAGAGTTCCGAATTGAATGAGGCATACACCTTAAATTCTATTGCTAACTATTGACTATTGAATCCAAGTAATAATAAGAGAATCCATTCAAAATGCACACATATTAACCAAGACTAATCACATATAATCTTAAACATTAACAATGGGAAAATATAATCCCTTGTGAATAAAAGATAATTAATTATTTAATGGTTTAAATACAATTAGTTTGAATAATCCTCATTGTCTACGAATGAACAAAGTTAGTATTTAATAATACTATTTTTGATGTTTCATGCCAATATTTTGGTATAAAAGTGTTTATCTGAAGCAAAGAAAACGTTATTGTGAAGGCGCGGATCGGCAAAGCAAGAGCAGCATATTTACAACTGAAGAACATCTAGAACTCAAAGCAACTGTCAACCAACACCAAGGTCAGAATTTTTAATACAAATGTCAAAACAGTTCTTCTGTATGGGGTGGAAACCTGGAGAACAACGAAAGCCATCATCCAGAAGATACATGTGTTTATTAACAGTTGTCTACGCAAAATACTTCGGATCCGTTGGCCGGACACTATTAGCAACAACCTATTGTGGGAGAGAACGAACCAGATCTCAGCGAAGGAAGAAATCAGAAAGAGGCGTCGGAAGTGGATAGGACACATATTGAGGCCTATGCTCCATTGGGAGTAACAGGCGTAAGTAAATAAGTAAGTAAGTTCCTTAAATTCATGTTGACCATGAGTTAAATAAGTTTATAGTACTTAGAAAAACTATAATCAATATTTTGCAATTACAAACTAACATGAGACTGTGAAATAAAAATGTAACGGTGGAAATCAAAAGTTCTTTACTGTAATCTCGTTTTAAAAGTTGAACAGTTGAATTTTTTTCATCGTTTCATGTGAATATATTCAGAGACTTTATTTTCAAACACTTACTGCGAAAAAATCGATTACGTAGAATTGCTACTGATGATTTTCTTAGCTTTTCATTTGTTATGTTTTTCGAATTATTTAGAATATTAGAATTTGTCTTCAATTGACCTTGATCTTCAAACTTTACTGTGTTCAAATTCGTTACTTGTGATTTACGATTTTTCACAGAATAATCAACGTCTTCCATTTTTATTTATCTTTCAAAATTAATTACAGAAAAGGAATAGAGCAACGTAATTCATAGAATCTTTAGATTTCTAAAATGAGTGAGATCTATATAAGTTTAAATTAAATTTAGATGATGTGGAAAAGCTGTACCGTTTAAAGCTTTTAGCATTTGCCGATAAACAATGGGATATTTTCACAATCTACAGTTACTTGATAAAGTAGGATATTTACGAGTAACTACGGGCTCTAATCAAACATAGTTTAATAAACTAAGAAATTCAGCTTAGAGAAACTTATTTTCAGTGGATATATATATATTCTTTAAGGAAATATGAATATGATGACATAAAAAGATTGTGATAATACTACGTAGAACACTGTTCAGTCTTAGACGATAATTAGAGTATCTTCGTCAAATTAGATGATGTAATAAGTTAATCGAGATAATATAAACCTAATATTAAATGTTTGGGGACAGTCTACACAAGATAGTTATCCATGCTCACCACAAAAGCACCGTCTTACTGCCTTAGGAGAAAATATATTCAGACTGTCATTAAATCTGAATACAGTTTTCTAAGTAATTGTCTTTCAAATACACACTAATCAATTGTTTTCTTCTGAACTATTTCTTTAGTGGATTTTAAACAATTCACATGATTAATGCAAGTCTGAAAACTATGGTAACAATTCAAAGTTTAACATTCAAGTTTTATTTAATTAAAATTGAGAATTCTTTGATTTATAAATATTATGGTTAAATCATGATTACAAGAATTGAGTCGAATCCAAGTTATTGTCTGTTGAACATGATCACTTCGTTACGTTTTATGTTGTACCCAAATGCCCTGATGCGGCTGAGTAGTCTCTCTCTCGAAATGCACTCACATGACCACGTGCATACAACCAGTGTCAGGGAAGTCCTACCTACTGCCTTCTCACGGCATTACTGTTGTTTACGGAAATGAGAGGACGAAAAACAGATGTCCGGCGCTTTAACTGGGCCGGTGAGTCCACCTAGAGGAGTTGGAAAACCCTGATTCCAAACCAGTGGTGTAATGGGCTCTAGGATCCTGAAGGAACAAATGGAGTATGAACCAATCGTCCGTCACCGGCTACCATGGGACTGCATCTCCTTACGTTGCCCCACTGCCTTGTGGATCAGACCTTCAGGTCAAAGGCTCCGGGTGTGGCCCCCTGAGAAAACCACCTGCTTCGGTTCGGGTACCTGGGCAGTATCCCAGCCCTCGCACGAATATGAACAATATTAGAATGGCTTTTACTTAAACTTATAAATTCTTTGGTCTGTAGGATATATTGAATCGAACCACTTTTGGTACATGAATTTCATGTATGAATAATTCGATTCTATCTGGGTGACAAATCAAAATGTAATCAGATGTATCAAGAGTTCTGTTGGCAAATGTTAATTATGATATGATCATAAGTGATCACAGCATAGCTATTTAATGGAGAGAACGAGTTGATGGAGCCATATCAAATCATGTACGTTATCAAAAGGAAACTTCACGTTTAAGTCCTAGTATGTAATATTTCTTATCAACAGTCAACAGCTTAACAGTCATAGTTTTAACATCAAAACTGATAGAGAATAAGCTTTACTTTCAGTAAAAACATTAATTGAAATATAGGTGTAACAGAACGATGGGCTCTAAGTAGGACTGGATATACTTTGTACGTTATATTATATATCAAAACCCATTTTGCATCTTATAGAAATAGGATCGAAATGAAATAAAGTTGAAAGTATGTGGGGGTTAATATATCATTTGAAAATAAAAGTGATTTACAAATGACCATTCGATTATAAATTATATGAATTTATGGTAGTAATACTTTCTGTATAGACGAAACTAAGTGAACAAGAATAGTTTCTTCAGAAATTGAAATGATGGTTACAGCACCGTTTGAGCCTGTTTTCTGAGATTATATTAACTGATTATAAAATAACTTAGATTGATCCTGTTATTTAAGATTCCTTAAATTGGAATAAACGTGAACAGACTATAGGTGATGATTACCAAGATTGTTAATTAATTTTTCAGCAAACTAAATCACATAACAATATCCAGCACTTTAATTTACAAGTTCACTTATGACTGTCATTTTATGTTGATTCAATTGCAAAATAATGTACCAATATATTGAGACTGAGTTGAGTGGACAGAGATAGCTTAGAAAACGAATAATAAAATACAGTTATGAAGTTGAATAACAATTATGGCTTTGAATAGATGTTATTATTTCAATAGAGTATCAATCAGGAAATAAAGGGAATTCGATTAATTTCGCTTTACTTTATCAAGCTTATGTGGACCAGGCAATTTATTATTGATACACTTTCAGGTTATTCGGTTAGGTGAATTTTCTGATTAATTTGAATATTTACAAGGAATGAAGGCTTAATTAATAATAATTATGCTTAGTTGTTTAAGGATAAGTGTGAGTGATAAGTCTTAATCAGTACTAAAGATTACTGAACACAACATGGATTACTACTCTATAACTAGTTAATGTAAAAATGAATCCTATACGAGATCATTTGTGGCTCAAACAGTTCGGTGATAATATCATTTAATGTGTCAGTATTCGAGTTTCACGGAAAAAAATTAGTCTCTTTATGATTATAGATACAACATACTGACAAGTGTCAACTAGGTACAAACCTTTAAACTGGTTGAATAAAAATATCAAACTCAAGGGAGTCTCAAAAATATAATATTTGAAACTATGGGTCAGTTATAAAATAATATGCTGATAGTACAGTACAAAAATAGTGAAGGAACTTTAAAAAAGGAATATTGTATAGAGAACTTACATTTTTAAGTTATTTAGAAAGAAATCATACATTAAGTTGTATGTTTTAAAAAGGAACTTATATAAACTATGTGATCTATATTTATTGTTCCGTTAACCAACTAAAAGTTTCTCTCATAAACATCTTTAGAGGATTGATCAACAAATACTTCTGGCATTGTTTCAATAGCTACATGTGACATACATGTTTGTTTCCAGTCCAACCAAATAAAAAGTTTAACAAACATCCAAATCTATTATTTTTAATGTGGAACAATGGAAACGGATAATAATAAAAATAATAAGTAATATCTTTCATTGTTTTATATATTTATAAATGATCACTTTGGTAACTAGAGAAAATAAAGCATTTAGAATAGGCTATTTTCACAAAAAATAACATTAGAGCAGTTAAAGAATTATGATATTTTCTGAAAAAAGTTTAGTATGGTTTTCTAGTAGAACGTTTCTGACACAAATTAGAACATGAACGTAATTTCCAAAGATAGGAGAAACGGTGCTTTTTGGATGAATTGAGCCAATGTACACATGATATTAAAGTCTAGACACGTTGTGATCGAAGTTTTAAAACTATTAATCACTGAGATTTGAGTCAGGATGAATGAAGTTGGATACTAATAATTGAATCTTGAACAGTATTACTGAAAAATCAGCTCTTTTCAGTAAATTGTTTAAGGCATTTAAGCTTGAGAAATGAAATACCTGAAAAATAATAATTTGAGAGAAGCGCATTTTCAGGATGAAAGCAAAGTACATCATAAATTTAAACGGAATTCTGTTGAGATTAAGAACACAGTTTATTGGATTTTGGCTAAGTGGACTCAATGACATTGCCTTTATCGTGAGAAATGAATGTCACAGATTTGACATTGTGTGAGGTTGTGGATGTGCATTATTAAAACTTAAAAAAATAATTCGATGATCGATCAGGGATATTGTCAACATAGTTCTACTTTACAAACTTGTGTAGAATATGCCAGATGAAATCACGTTACTAAAGTAGCTAGATCAAGTTCCTTACGACCAATTTATAATAAACTACGTTATAAGCAGTTTTGAGCCTAATTGAAGTATCAAGGGAAAAGCTTTCGAACCAGTGAAGTTGTATCACCTGCCTGTGACATCTTTGTAGTGCTCACCAAAGTCATAAGAAAATGAGCTCCGGACTTTCAGGTCTTTGGGTTAAAACGATACCATTAAAAATTTTGGAACAATCGAAGGGACTCAACTTCTAACCAGTAGGTTACAGGTTAGAACTCCGAACTATCTAATTCAGTTTAGGATCTGAGTATTATCACTATCATTTACATAAACAACATGCCATAAAAGTGAGTGGATAAACTAGTATTTGGTAGTATATCATTATTCACACCAATCAATTAACGATTTTACGAGACGATTATTAAATTCTAACGGTGATATCTGTCTGATAAAACTTGACTGATATAGTTCAGTAATGTTCTTTTGTTTGTACTTTGCCAATTTTCTTTCGCTGTGATATTAATAAGAGTGTATCAAACTGTAGATTGAAACAACTTTTGAGGTTGATGGATAAAGATCGAATATGTACACATGTGCAATTGAGATTAACCCGTCTGACCAATTCAAAACAGTGATAGAGAGTGAGAAAAAGCATCGCTGGCAAAACTCATGTTAACGATAGATTTAGTTTATCATTCATTTACTCATTTACAAGGAAGGGAGAGGGTTGACTAACATAAACTGTGCTTGCATACACATATTTATTATGTTTCATGTTGTACATATTAATACTGATTTTATTTTAAAAAGTAATTCTTTGTAGAGTTATTGAAAAAGAAATTTTTTTTGAAGGGGAGGGGAGAGAAACCAAATTAAATTAACTGCATAATGATGAAAAAGCATAAATTTGTTTTAATCAACGTAACCTAAAAGGGAAAAAATGAATGTACTTTAGATTGGTACTTTACATGCATGGATCACTGATTATTTTCTTATATATATATATACAAATCTAAATAAGAAGAAAAGAAAAGTACGATTTTACGTTGAAATGATGAAATATCTAATGATATACAAAGAAGAAGAGATAATTTATGTAAATTTAGAGAAAAGATAAATTTGAACGAACTACATGTTCGAATTGATTTAGTTCAAATTAGATAAACATTAAGTCAATATTTCTAATATGCTCTAACGAAA